CCTGGCGGCGATGATAACATACGAACACGGAGTCAACAGACGAGGTTTCAACTGGTACTGGTATTATTATACTCTGCAAACATCAAGTACAATAACTCGGTAAAACTCCAAACCTCCAATAACTAGATACTTAAACTCCACCACAACTCAACGGGATCTCCGATCCGATCTCAGTGCTGAACAACTCCCCTATATATACCCACACTGTCTATAAATAGACCATTACATCAGCATACATAATGAGTCTGGAACATACTACAAATTTCTAGAATGTTCCATTACCTTCTATTGCTTTCTACAGTGTCCTATTACCTATTCAATCAACATCTAAAAATTCCACCCAGACACAGTACGGTTCTAGAACATTCTCAGTCACACGGAAGTGGTAAACAAGTCGTATGCGACACTTCTCTATCCCATGGTCTTACCTATACGTAAACCACTTGTGTTTGTGTTTGTTTGTAGATCGTGTTTCTTCATATGTCTTCATTTCTATAGAAGAAGATATTAAGGCATTTTGATGTGTATGGCTAATAAAGATGGCGGCGTGACCGTTTAGGTTGTTATTGATTATAAATATTTTATATGAATGGCAGTATATGCCATAGCAAAACAAACTTGGACACTAAATACAGTTCATAAAAATGAATCTATTTTGTTTGTTTTTTTGTAAACCAAGCAATGCATTAGTTGGGAAGGGATTTGAATTTCCACAACTACTGAGCACGATGTGCAAGTGTCCGCGGTTCAGTTCAAATACGTATATTCAATTACTGCTGTTAATGTCACTTGATATGTATTACAATATTAATGAGAAAAAGATATTTTGGATTCTGCAAATTATTCGTAGGTCTAATATTAACATCAAAAGAACGCTGTTTAGCCATTATTCTGTGGTTTTCTTGTTTCTTGTTTGAGAAATTCTCACTCGTAGCTGGATTGTTACACTTTTAGACGGTGCGCTATAAACGTCATTCATCATACATCTTTTATGACATTTGTATGATGCTGTTTTTGGAATCTTTTACTTTGAATAAATTATTCAAAATATATTCAATGTAGGTAAGCGAGTATATGCAAATATATTATACAACGAGCGGACAACAAACGAATGGCGCACAATTGAACAACCGACAAACTGACCGAAACAAAAGATGTAATTAATTATTCAATTGATCACTTATAGAATTCATATCATATACCCTTTGTTATACATTTCGATAACAAGCTTAAGAGAAGACCGCTATAGTTAAACATATCTGATTACCATCTTATTTACATATATAGTGTTGCAGTCGTGGATTGTAATTTCACACTGGACAGAAATAGGATATATTTTTACACACATTGTTGGCACGTCATAAAATTTAGTGGAATATTCTAACAAGAATGATGAGCTGGTAGTGACGTATTATTTTGATATCCTGTTCAGGCTTGGCTTCTAAGTTCATGACATCGATTTGAATCGTGATTCCTTTAAGTGTCTGTCTTTGTTCCTGATGACGTATGTAAATTTCTTAATGGCCATGGGTGTGTATGTGATCGTTATTCTCTGGAACAGTAACAATATAGATCTACGAGATAAGGCAGCCTAAACAAACACAAGATAAAACTATTACACGTTTCCGCAATCATCATCGATTTTACAAGCATCCGATATGACGCCATTCTCCGAGTTTGGAAGTCTCGGCAGAATATACGTTAGAAATATTTTATTCTGTTGACTGGGTAGCCAGCAGGGATGTCAATTCCACAACCATCCATGAACCGTAGCAAACCCGCTGACCGCAATGTACCGCGACCATGCCGTAATAATATAATGAGGGGTCATCATCATATAAGAAGCCTTTCTTTCCACTGATGTGCATGCTTTATTGCGGTTTCCCGATAGCGGGCGCTACAGCCTCTCAAACACTCTCCAAGCACACACATTGAACTCACGAGGGCGCAATGTAGACGGTGTCTTTGCATCCCGGCCGCTGTTATATAATAGCAGGTCTGATAGCAACGTAACGCTATTTGCCAATATACTAACGTCATTGCATTTATCTGAAAAAACACAGAAAATCGATATTTTTGTCTGGACCGATTCGTTCGGCTACTTCACATCGCCAAATTGTATATTTGCACTACGAGCCGTTGAATAAACACCCTGATCACGCTATTAGAGCGAAGTGTATGCTGTCCGTCTAGTGTCTGAGAGTATATAGTCCTGCGATTGGATCAGACTATTTTTCGTATTAACTCCACCAACATAATATTTTCGATGAAAATGCATTTTTAAATATTTTTGTTTGATTTTACATTTTGATAAAATAAAAAAAAATGGTTTGATAACAGTAGCAGTATACTGAAAACACGATTTTTTAAATGTTATTGATGCTATGTCTGCCCTCAAAACAATATCTAATTTTACATTGACTCATCATACTGATAATCTCATAACAAACCCAAATATTTGAAACATACTCAACAATAATCAAAATTTATTCATATTGCCTCTTCAAAAGCGTATTTGTGTCGAGTCCAAGTTTAGGTCAGTCCGTGATTTGGCTCATCTCAATTGTTTGTAGGGTTGACAAATTAATGTTGATCAAACAATGCTCTCAAATATCCTGTTCTTAATTATAAAGAATCGTGCGTGTTTATCCTGTACATTGTGCTTACATGCGAGTGTGAATAATTGCCATATATATATTACAACGAATCAATGTGTTATACAATGACTCAATATACTAGGCAACGTTGTCAATCAAAGCTAACTATTCTCTGTCGCGGTTGAAACAGCATCGTATTTTATGCTTATTCATGAATATACAATGGTTCGCTAAGACCTTGACCCACCTCATAGATGTGAAAAGTTGAATTAAGTCGTATAAATAAGACATCAAAAATGCATGCATTCACTCATTAGTTTATTCATTCATTCAATTACATTTTACAATGTACGTGTTCTCGCTTGCAGCTATTTGGTCCACAGTTTATCGGATCCATGAAGCGCCAGCTTCACAAGAGCTGGTCCGACGAGATGCAGGATGCCTGGACTGTTTTATTTGACATAATCATCTACCACATGACAACGAACATGGTGCCCGAACAACCTGAAAACAACAATATCGCAAAGAGACAGAAGAGCTCAAGAAAATCGCGCACAAAATATATGATAGATAATGGACATTCACAATAAAGCCAAACAGTGGGGTTTACATGAACGTTTTGTAATACAAAAATGACTGTGTTGCAGTTTTTGGAGGAGCGTGTATAATGACTATGATTGTTTTGAGAACGTGTACCGTACCAAGCGAGCACAACGCCCACTTGAATCCAACCCTTGACAACGTTTCAGGCGATGTATGTTGGTACTATGTGGGGATATAAAAGACAAGATCAATTCCATCTTCATCGTTCTCCTTTGATATCCGCACACCTATCGGAATTCACGAACACTTGCGATTCAGCCAATACATTTACAACAACGTAAATCAGCAATGCATTCGTTTGATTAATTAAATAATATGCAAGTTTATTCATAACAAATTACACTGGTGAATGTAAACATTCTTGGAGAAATATTTTCTTATTATACAACACTTTTTCACGTGTTCAACAACTGAAATGTTGACACATTCATCACGGACAATTTACCGTGATCATGTATGGACTCAGGATTAAAATCGAGATATTTAGCATGAGTTGTTGAGGAATTATTCTTGTCCTGTTACAAGCAATAAATATAGTAACCGGGGAAGCGTTGAACTCTTTATTTTTAGCTCGAGTTTAAAGCGGGAGGGTCGTCACCTACGCACGCGCGGCAGTCCCAAGCGACGATAACCACGCAAAGGCTCATGGGTAGACGCTTGCTTGTAAACAGTGCCACGCTATGGCCATCTGACGCATGCGCAGGTGACGACTCCCCGCTTTAATTAACTATTTACAATATTCACCTCTATGCCATGCCTATCTGAATGCGCATTGCATCTTCTGATGGTTATTATGCGCAGCATATCAAGGTCGGGTGATGACATCGAAAGATCATTGTAATTATTCAATCTAATATATTACCGTACCTTAGTAATACATTAGTGCATACACGCACGGATTGTTTTTTTGTATACGCCACTAGACGGTTTACCAATTTGATTCAGTGCTGCACATTAATTTAAGAACCCCGAGCGAGCGTAAATGCATGTTGTAACTTGCAATGTATGTACTCATAAATTATAGCGGCAAACATCGCGGCAAGTACGCCAACCTAGTAAATGTGGCTATATTTGAACACTATAACAATTTGGGGTCATTTATTACATTAGAGGAAAGCAAATTAGCTGCGAAGTACATCGATAAATATAAATCAAACTCATGTTCGACGCGTATAACTCGCTTTGTTGATGGAGTATATCAACGCACGAGTTATATTGCTATTGCTTCTAATTTCTTGCTTTTTTGCTATTAAACAATGGCGTCACACTCGACATCGGTACGGCGGAGAAAAGGAATATTGAATAACGGTGGATAGAGATAATAATATATTCATACAGCATTTTACTTAACGCTGCTTTAAAGAAGCGCTACACAATCTATGGTACTCCTGTGACGAAAAGACACAAGTTACTGATGAGGTCTCGTGGAGAACGAGAAGGCCATTTGTCCCTCATATATGGAGTGCTTAGAACTCTTATTTTATTAATAATGAAACTAACAAAGCTGAAACACAATGGTTCATGATACCAGAAGCTATATTGTATAAATATCTCGTTTTTTTAATAAACGGGGAAATATAATCTCTTTATTGTTCAAATGGACAATGCGGTATAATGTGACCCGTCACATTACAATATTGATAGCTACTTACCAAGTCTCATAACAATGGCAACACACAGAGACAAGTTTCAATTGAAAGTCAGATTATATATTTAAACTGGAATGACTTTTAACTCGGCTATGACATTAAACATTTTCTTCGCATACGTAATATCTCTAGTGACTAATTGCTTGTGACGTTACACTGTAACATGCTGAACCTTTAGACCCGGCGACATATAACGAAGTGACTGGGGCAGTCGAACTATTAAATGAGCTTCTGCGCCCTGAGGATCACACGATATTTCGATTAGACAGCGAATATAGATAAGAATCCTATATTACTTATTGACATATTCACGACCAGTATAATCACATTTTGTTCTCACCTCTGTGTTTTATGGGGAATGATTTCCCATTCGTAGCAAATGTGAGAGAAAACGCAAAGATTAATCAAATTGTTGTTTCCGAAGAGAGTAACTGTGCCCAGGGAATAATGTTAGAATTAATTTGAATGGAAGTTGGTTTCTGGGGGGTATTATGTTATCATCACAGCTTCATATTTAGTTGGGAACTATATAGTTTATCATTTATTCATGTGTTATCCTTATGAGCTACTATCGCGAAATACCCCTAAGACCGATTTTACTATAAGAAGGGTCAAACTCATTCCAAAATGTCTTAGTTCATAAATCATCGCGGTCATTACCGCCAGATCATGATTCATCGAGGTCGTTACGGTGAGATCACGATTAGGAAAAAAATAATTTATTATAATTAACAAGGAAGGTGTTGAAACAATGACAAATGGTCAATTTAACTAATGACAACCCATAGCTTTATATCAGTGCATATGCCACTGAAGTCCGGCACTGTCGTTTCCATGCTTCCCAACACACCTTTTAGGTACACGAATACGTATATCTTTTTATAGCGGCGTAGTTGTACGTGCAGTAGTAGTAATGCGTCATATCAATGCAATATTCATTCAAACATTATACGCCCAGAAGCAGTCGACGTAAAGTTCGAGGCATTGTCACCCGACAATGATAATAATACCATAATTTATAATCTCCCGGTATGTCTTCCTACTTTCGACGTCAGTAGACACGAATGATTACAAATAAGCCGTAAGCGAGCATTTATATTTCTCTGCCTTGTGGTATATGTGTTTAGATGGAACTGAAGCTTCGTTGTATGAAGCATGCTTATAATTCCTTTTAGGTTTAAAAAGTTGTTGATAGATGATATTCGGCGCACCCATGCAAGTGTTCCACATAGTAAATTAAATCTTGCAACTAGTCCAAGACATGAGTTTGAAAAATGTCTTTATTATTTATTAACTTCAAACTCACTGAAGGCAATTAAAAAAAAACATGTAACATGTAATGAGCGAACATACTAATTGCGACAATTATATACGCTATAAGTTGGGTATTGATACAGTATTAATAATAATAACAGTCAGTCAATTAATAATTCTCGATAAATGCAAGACAATAATAAATTGCGGTTGTATCTCAAAATATAAATCATGTATTTTCTGAAGAAAAGAGTCACCCGTACGTACGGCTGGTGAATTGTCTTGGAGACATTGCGTGGGGAACATTCGGGTATTGCCAAATATGAGAAGGTCCTAATTAAAATCAATAGTTAATTCACATGTACAGTAATTTAAACACCTGACACACCCATTTTGGTCTAAGCACCAGCTCAACTTCAACGCACATGATTAAATTATTCCAGAAAAACTGTGAACACGATATTAATGTGTGAACAATATATAATACTTTGTGTCACAACGCCAAAGATTGGTGGGCCTGCATACAAATGACCATATCATTTCCGAGTAAAGAATTATACGCTACGCGTGTATTTTATGAATTTGCCAGTCGCATATCAACTGGATTGTCGACTGTTTGCAAAAGTAATTTCTAATACAAAAGAAACGACACTGCCGTTGGGGATGAAGCAAACTCTTAAATTTGTTAAATCGGCCACCAGCGAGACCTTGTAGATGCATGTCAAAAAAAAGTGATTTATAAAAATCCTTTCAGCGCCAAGTGACCTCCAAGTAACCCCCTCTACACTAAACAGTTTTTAGTTATTGCATTATTACCTAATTGAAAAACTACATTATATGCTTTTTAATCATAACATCAATAACACGTTGCAATTAGGGAAATATGACGTAGGATGATGTTATTTATTTCATATGTACCACGGGACAAAACTTTAAAAGACTCATTTCGGAAACCACCACTGATATAACAGTGAACCACGGTGGTCAGTTCTCTATTTTGTTAACAGTGACCCATTCCCATCCTGGTATTTCTGTTTGTGTACTGTATTAATCTTCGAGTTTATACTTCCTTCTATAAATCACAATATTAAATATACGGTTTGGGTCAAGGTCACATCGACAAATCTAACCCTGTTATTTCATTTCACAGAATAAATGATGTGTAAGTTGGACATTAAACATGTTTCCCTTCTGCAAAACACCATCACACAATTACATTAGAACCTTTGTCAATCGAACACTATTGTTTATGGCACAGAGTGCACATTATGCGGACTCGTTCAGTTGCTAAGGCGTGGGATAACCTCAGGAAGTGAGTATGTGACCACAACTTAGGCATCGATAACAACATTAATGCGTTAATGGACCATGGTGTGGGTTTTACAGAAAAATATACCATCATTTAACTTGATCCAAACAGATGTTATGACTGAAACAACAATGTAAGTGAAATAGCTAAAACATTGCATTCCAGTTCAGTGATATGTTAGCTATGCTTTATAAACTTTCCGGTGTTCATACAATTAGAACAGCGTTCTTTAGAATCTCATTACGCCATTTACGAATACTGTAATCGAAGGTCTATCACTAATCCTCAGTTATGAAAATAAAGCTTGTCTTTATCAAGCCAGACTTTGCTAATTGGCCTGTTAGAATTGAAAGACGGATTTGTGGAGACAGGAATAATATACGAGTACATGGAGAAAGAACCTGAATATTTGAAAATACGAGAAGCGCTCATAGTTTCACATACACACATACCAAGACAATAGGTTGGAAATTATTCAATTATGATATTCTAAATTTTGATATTTGCAAGTTCAATACCAGCAAATGTAGTTGTAATTCATGTTCTCTTGTTATAAACTTATCTTTAATAGCCGGTTTCAATCAGTCATCTGCTTACGGCTATGTCGTCATCCCAGCAGATAAAGCATCCAATAGCATTATTTATTCCCGTAAGCACTATTACAGTGCCACATAAATGAATTAATTAAAATTTGTATTCAGATGGGAATAATAACACACACACCGTATTTATCTTGAAGAACTCAACCGCAATGACACAACATAGAGCATGAATTTACGTTTCACGCTGTTCTATTCTTCCAATTGAATCTATGGTTTGCACGCTAAGTTTTCCCGTACTTTTCAAGTAACATTTCCTCCGCTCCGGCTTTTAGTGTATACGTATACAGGCCTCGACATTGAAATGTAGGTCATATGCTGCTAAGCTAGTTAATCCAGGTTGCTCCAGCAATAGACTGGTTAAGACCTTCAAAATTGCTTTTGATGACAGAATATTTCTAAATATGACATGTCTGTCAAACAAATTATAAGGGACAGCATTCCTAATTACGACCTAATATAGATCACTTATGAATAATCAAGATTAGATTTTCCTTGACATCAGTTACAATGTGAAACCAATCACGATGGGTGTAACTAGTCAGCAAGGTTTTCCTAAATTCTGCTTAATGTACCCCATCATATTTCCACAGGTTTAGCCCTTTCAGGCTTATTTTAGCACATATTAAGAATCAAATTGGCGGCTTTTTAGTCATGTGTAAGTAAATACAAATTGTCGATTTTTTGTAAAAGTAAATTGATGCATAC